CATCTTTGAGCATATTCCATCGCTTAGGATATTGTGGTTAAAACAGGTAACAAAAAATGAAAATAGGATTAAATAACATTAATTAAATAAATAGATAAATGTCTAAGTTACATTAATATCATATGGATTTCGATAACGGAGTCTGCTAATAAGCCCTTAAATTGCCGAATATAACATTTGGTGGCGTACCAACCGTCCCATGATCGTAGTTATTTAGAGAGCCCGAATAGGTCACTACTTTATGATATTTGAAGGCTGCAGTAGAAGATGTATCTTGCCTGTTCTACTGCCTAAAACATTATCGTGTTCGTCGCCAACGGCGCTTGGCAATCATTGCCTGTACTATGTTTTCATTATAATACCAAAATTATGAGCTCTTTATGAGTAATATGAATATTATGTCAATTAAAAGCGAAAATCGATGAATCAATGGATGTATTTTATTCCTCAAATATACGGAAAATGGACATATCTTTCGGCACTGAAGATGAGCAAAAAAGTAAATGCATAAATACACGGCAAATTAAGTGGTTAAAGGGGTCTTCACGACTCGAACCAAGACAGAAATAAATGAATTGCATCTCAGTTCTATCCAGCAGTAAATCTTCACTATCTCAAACCGGGATGTAGATATGTAAAATAAGGCTGAACCGGATGAAGTGGATGGTTGTGCTGGGAGAGAATACAAGCGGCAAAGCATAGCCACGCTTCTAGAATGCGATGTACAAATTCTTTGAACTGAACTTAAAATTCGAAGCAGTCGTCATGTTCTAAGAACTTGAGGGTTCAGTGTAACAGAAAAAGACAGGTTATTTTTAAAAGTCTAAAAAGGAAAATGGGGGAGGAGGTAAAAAAGTAAAGAACGAGTGATTTTATGAAAATTTACAAAGTGAATTTTGGAGTTCCCACTCTCCTCAGATGAATAAACTAGTACAGACTTAGAAGCTTGTGCACAGAAGTCGATGATCGATTTGATAATCGTATCGTCTGACCTAAGACGCTCAGTAATG